TGCTGGGAAACACTCAATGCACTAAGCTGGGAACCACTCTAAACACGTCCGTTGTAATGTAAAAAGATTCGTACTCACGCAAAACACAAGAATAGCTCATAATTTCTAACAAGCCTAATGCGTGATGAGGAATTGTAACGTGAAATAAAATTTCTATTGAATTTGACGACATCAACAATATTCTCCAGTGGCTGTGAATGTCTAATCACAATTTTCAGTTTGATCGAAAATTGCTCTGCGTGTAATAAGAAGATGCTAGCTGAATGTTACTTCGCAATGTCTTATTGCCGAGAAGTTTAATTCCAGTTCCTGTATGAAAGTAATTTGAATGAACACTCATAAAAGTGATACTCGAGCAATGCCGGTGAACCGCTTGAACTTTGATCGATCACATCTATCGCTGTGCTCGCGATGAATTCTCCATAAGATTGCTAACATTTCATTGAGAGTTTGCAGAGCTGTAGCAGACGAAATGGATTGGAATCGTGAGAGAAAAACTTCTGAACAGGACGACTTGTGCGTTAAGAGTGCATCAGGACAAGGTAATTATTTCCTCGAAATGTCTACTTTTTAACCATTTTGCTCACAGTTGCCAAAAGCAAATCAACAACTCGTAACAAAGAGTTGGCCTTATGATCAAGAAATGCTTAATGTGTATTTTGAGATAGATCACTTCGCATTCTATAATTATTATTACTATCATGNTTTCGTTCTGAAGCAAATAAAAAGTCCAGCTCAGCGAAACATGTTAAATGGCTTGTAAATGTTTAGGGCTAAAAATAACATGAGAGTAATAGTCAATATTTGTGACATTCACTCATGCGACACACACGTTGATACGTAATTATAATTTTGTAATTAATCGAAATGCGTTTTATAATATTGATGTTTTGCGAGGCAGACGATATTTTTTGGTGAACAACTACAGACAGAGATTTCAGACAGTTAATTTTTTCGAGCCATGCTGATAGATGACGAATGAAGTGATGAAATTGTCGAAAATGAAATGAAATGTTTAATGAGATGTAATTGATGTGGGTATGCTATAATTATCGCGTGCTTTTGGAATAATCATCTGAAATCGTTATAGTTAAAACTACTGTTCGTCGGG